TGGCGGCTGCCAGCCGTCCTTCGGTTTCAAACGTACGAGACTCACAGCAGTGCGAGGGGCAGCAGCGATGATGGTGGAGGAAGCAGCCCGAGATACAGAGCCGAAGCAAGGAAAACACAAGAGCCAGGTAACTGACAGCCACCATCAGGACCAGTTTTGGCAGAAAGCACTAAAAATAGAAATTAAGGTAAAAATCGCACTATTCAGTGCCCCGAGTCCCTCACTCACCACTCCAACTAGGCTCTAACATCTGGAGTCAGGAAAAGTGTGATATACTCCACCTAAAACCACCACCAGACTACTCCAGTGCTGCTGAAGGTGGGATCTAGCCCAGAGGAACTGCAGCAAGAGCACATTTACCAGTCTATTAAAGTACACCTGCTTTTTACAGCCCGCTCCGAGCAGTGCGGAACACACGTTAGCAGCGATGCGACCAGTTAGACGGAAACGGGCAAAGGCAAGGAGGAGCCAAATGAGAAGTAAAATCAGCCCTGGCATGCAAAAGCTGGAGCAAACCCACGGGCTCAGCGCGGATGGCAGCTCTGCTGGAAGCGATGCCCTGGCCAGCTCGGGCGGCTACGTGGCCAGGAGGCACCCGGCCAGCCCCAGCTCGCAGCCACAGGGGCCCAGGTCCGGGGAGCCTGCTCCAGCCAAAACAAATACCTGCAGCAACAGAGGAGAACCTGTTTCCACAGAGCGGTTTTTCAGCAGAGCTTTGCACGGCCCCGGCTGTTCAGCAGCGGTATCTGAACCAGCTTTCTCGGACCCAGCCTGGGGTAACTCCCAGCGCTGCCGGGCACTCGGCACCGGGTCCGTTTTATCTCACTGTACTACAGAAACGAAGCAAATTAACCCAAAAGGGTTCTTTTCCCTTCCTCTCTCCAGCTGCACACAGGAAGAGAAGTACATGCGCAGCCGGAGTCCATGAAGCAGGTGGTTACCCACGTCCCTGCCAGAGGGATGCTGGAGATGCGGCTCACCCTCCCTTCACGCCGTGCCTTACCTCAAGAGTTGCTGCTGGGACCAGACAAGCTTGGGGGGCTAAATTTAGGCAGAAAAAATGCATATTTTCATGTTTTCCCCTGCTTTGTAAGGAGGGCAGCCAGCAGCAGGATTAGTGCTCCTGGGAGGGCGGCAGCAGAGCAGGTTATAGCAGACATGGCTGCGCTTGCGGCGGGTGCCTCATCCACGAGCCTCAGCCCAGACCTCTGCCGTGGCTGCAGGAAAGCACCAGCCTGCAAAGCACGGGGCAACAGAGAGCACAGCGGGCGCAGCCACGTTAGGTCTTCTCATCTGTGGTCCACCTCCTGGGAGCACTGGCAGCTCAGGGTCCAATCCAGCACTTGGACTGCTCCATTCAACTTGAGCTGAAGGGAAGCACGTGTCAACGGACTGGTCCCCACCTGTCCCACCTCCGCCTGCCACCTAACGGGCTCTGGCAGCCCCAGGGCTTTCCTCCTGGAGCAGCACCATGGAGCACACGGGGACACCAACACCAACCCCAGGGACAGCGGTGTGTGGTAAAGGAGAACGCCTGGCCATGCCTCGGCAGCAGGCATCCTCGTGCTCCTCTTCCTCTCGCAGCCCTTGGCACCTTCTTGTCTAACTCATAGCGGTGCCTGCACAGCCCTGGCAGGGAACAGCGGGATTGCTGCAGGGCACTGCTGGGAGAGCACTGCCAGCGGCCGGCCTCGGCGTGCAGGGTGGGTGCCTCGACCCTTCCCACGAGGCTCGTGCCCCTGACTTCTTCCCATCAATCACTTCCACAATTCTGCTACCACAACTTGACATGCAACCACCACAGGGACCACGACTTCAACAGCATCACTGGGCACAATGCGCCCTGTCCCTCCCAAAGAAACTCAAAATAGTATAACATGGCAATAAACAGAAAACTCCCTTGCCCTACTTTTGCCGTTTTCAACCTCAAATTCATATCTCATCACAAAATAAGGAAACTGTTTGTAGAAGCAGCAAGTCTCCAGCAGCCCAGAGTGGTCATGCTCTTCACAACACTCTGACACCACTGGTTTTTGTAACTCTCGGTTACTGCAAAAAGGAAGGTCAAAACGGTGCAATTGCATAGAAGAAATTGTTGAGTGAGAGTCACCCAAGAGGAAGAAGGGTGAGCTGCTCTCAGAATGAAGCATCAAGCCAATGCTCACGCACCGCAGGACTTCCTTCACCCCAACGCAGCAGGAGATTGATCCTACATCATTCTGAAGTCTTTGCAAACCCACTTGCGTGCACGACAGCCTGTGCCCAGTTAGGGCTATCTGCCCTGGGAGCCCACTTTGGCAAGCGGTGACATGGAGAAGATCCCACTGATCCACCCATGAACCACACGGCCTTACACAGGTCCGGGGAAGCAGAGGGCATGCCCCTGGGGTACCTCCCAAGGTCAGCAGAGCTGCACCATAAGGTAACCTATAAGCACAGACAATAAAATAAAGGCCAAGTCCACCTGACAAGAACACATCTTACCACAGCAAATTAGGTACATTTTGAACCCAGCCAGAACAGTAAGCAAAGCCCCTACAGCTGTCATCTCCAAGGCTGTTAATGACCCATTCCCAATCACACCCTTTCTTGATATCCCTACTTGACTTTTATACATCTTTCCTTTATTTGATTAACCAACCCCTGTAACCACTCAATTTCTCCATATTTTCTCTCCTTTAGTCCTCCTCTCCCCAGGTTCTGTGAGGGTTGGGGCACCCAGCTCTAAGGAGAGCTCCACGTAGACCACAGCAAAAGGAATTGTTCTTTCTACATTACGGAGAAGGCACGTTCTCAGACACCAGGGCTGTTCTGCACTGAAACCTGCAGACACACAGCGGGCATTTGTGTGATGGCAGCTCAAGCATCCTCCTGGAACCACAGCAAAGATCCACACAGTGCCACAACTGCCTCTGCTTGTGCCTGACCGCGCGCGACACCGAGGAAGCCGACCTCGTTTACTCGCCGGCACAGCCCGTTGGCCCTGCGCTGACTGCACCGATACACCGGGAGGGACCGTTACAGGACTGAAGGTGGAGCGAGCCCAAGGAAAGACTGAGCAACACAAGACTTTGGGGTGGTTTGGTTTTTTGTTTGGTTTTGTTGTTTTTAAACAAGTCAAACTTTGAAGAGGTCCGTTGCAAGCCTCCAGCACACACACCCTCCTGGCAATCCTCTGCTGCCCATGTTTTTTGGGGGATGCCGGCCTCCACCAGCACCTTGTGCACCACAGCCAGGAACTCGGTCCCCAGCTGCTTCCTAAGCAAGAACAGGATGAGAAAGAAAGAAAGAAAGAAAGTGAAACAGCTGGCTAGCTGGGTTTGCTCCTCCTCTATTTTCTTCTTGTTAGGAACACAAGGAAGACGCAAGAAATCCATCAGAACTGGTAAAAGCATTAAAAAGAAAGAGCCAAACAGATCTGTTGTGTTTGTTCAAGCTTTAAGGAGAACAAAAGGAAGCTTCACAAAAGCAGATGGGGGTTTTTTCCCCCCAGAGAAAGCGGATCCTGCGGCTG